AGTTTGAAGACCATCAGGAAAAATATCTGGACGAGCTGTCCATTGGGAAACACCATTGCCCATACCTTTATAATACCACCATGAATCAAGTTGCATATACTGAAATGGAAGTGAAATTTGATGACGAACATCAACCATAGTTTCTTCATAATTGACTCCTTTTTCTGTGTTATAATAATAATAACCACCATTATCGGTATAATATCCAAGATAATTAATTGTAACATCAGATAGACGATGTCGATTCGTTCGATTATATTCACTTTGCATGATTTGACCCCATTCTCTTATTCCTTCATTGATACCATTTAATGCATAAAAAACCACCATGGAATGAGTATAATTAGCTGGTATTGATAACATTGAACCCATCACACCGAATTCTAATATGTTGCTATTCGTTTGACTTAATGAAGTGGCCATAAATTGAGAAAATGGTGAAAGAACTAACATATCACCTTCTCCTTGTTGAGTCAGATTAAAAAGAACAGCAGGACCACTTTGTATTCCTGATCGAATGACTTTACTGGATGAATTCCACCAACCTGCATGTTTGTCATCATCACCGGACATTTCTCCTGAAGAAAAGTGAAAGAGAGAGAGTTAAAAGCATTTGTAAAATCAATCTTACCTTCGAATGTAAAATAACCTCGTTGATCATTTTGATCGAATTGTTCAATATGAAACGATGGAAAAACTGTTCGAACATGGTCCATGTCAAGAGGGACGGTATTCGTCAAAGGTCGATCGCCAGTGTCCAAATGAAACGAAATTCCAAAAGTACGATACCAATCGCGTATGTGACCAACGATTTTCGTGTGTATTCCATCGCGAACAAGATCATAGTTTAATTGAAAATCTCGATAATCACCGAGATTTGGATCAAAACCACTTGTATAACTGATGTCAATTAATGGTAGTGTATTATCATCGGATGAATACCATTTGTTGTCGACGTATATAGCTGTACGAGATGAACGAAGCCAAATACGACGACCAATAGTAATATTGTATCCTCCTTTGTCATCAATTATTACATTTATATTACCCCAACTCCAACATTCAACTATAAGAAGAAGTAACCCTAAAACATGCATCTTCACCAACTACTCTAGCCAACATATAAGATAACAGTGCTATTTATATAGATAGTGATAAGAAGAGATCTCTCTATGTTCGTGTTTGAAATCTAAATCGTGAATGTGACATGAGCAACATTCGTCCTAATATTTGGAGGATGAGTATGACAAACACAATACCAATACACTTTAAGACATTCCCCAGCATCGAGACGAAATGAGGTGATTTCATGTATTCACCTCAATATCCTATTTAATCATCTTATTCCGTCAAATCATGTGTGTAGATCTGGGTATTGAAATGGAAATGGTGGTACAAAATTTATTACTTGAACTTTTATTGTGTTGCAATAGAATAAGTGTCGATAACAATAAATGTAATTCTGTTCAAATTTTAAATCATACTTTTGCTGTTGTTATGCTATGTTTAGCTACCATTTTTTTTAAAGAGATAAGAAAGTGTCTTGCCATTCATAAATATGACATGAGTCAACTTCGGCACATATAAGATAATGTGTGCAAGCAATCTTACCTTGGATGCCTGGAAGAATATTTTTTTGTCACTGTCGACTGCAACATTTTGAGTGTCCTTTCTGGTTACCTTCACTTTTGATAGAAAATGCTCAAGACTAAGAGCAATTTATTTCATACGGTGACGTCAGATGGATGTAGGTGTAGGTATTCTTTGAAAACATCCACACCCATACTTTATCAGGCATGATTATCTGTAGGAATTTTAGTTCGAAAATGAAAACAGCTGTTGTTAGATGTTTGTTAATTCTTGGCTCACTAGTCTTCTTTAGTGTATGTATATTAATTGACAATAATGCTGCCGACAATGCGCATGATATTACTTTCAATTGTACAATTTGGTGTGCCTAGTGGAATGAGAGTATGTTTCATGGTGGATCATGTCCAGAGTCGTCTGACTGTGATCGTCAACATTTCGGTTGAAAATGAAAAATTTCTCTAATCAGCGATAGCCAAAGGAAAGCTAATAGACATTTGCGTATTTTGCACTTTATTTAGAGCAGCACTAAACCTTTGTTTCAGTTGTAAGAATGTGTCGTGAGAAAAATAAGACAAGTACCTAAATGATTTGACAATTTTTAACGAAAATGAATTTCAAATGTAAAAGCATGATGGTTGCATGCATCGATCTGCTAACAAAACATATTTATATACTCTGATGCTTTTAGTATGTTAGTTTTACGTAAAA